AGAGAGCATAATAAAGCGTTTTTTCTTGTTCCTCGCTTTCATGTCCCTCTTGTAATTTTTCTGTCCGTCTCTCACTTGCAGCAACTAGAAGTTCGAATGCGTCTTCAATGAAGTTTGGTCTTAAAGGTTTTCTTTCTTGTACCATTTTTCCAAATACTTCTGTGAAGAGTTCAAGATATGTTATTATTGAAACATTTTTGTTCGTGGCTTTCTCCATGCATCGTTTCCACAAACCAAAACAAAGCTCGTACTCCTCAGAGGCAGCTAAAACAGCTCCCCGGTATCTGATTTCATACAGAATAGCTGGATTGTCAGATCCAAGGATTCTCTCTCTGATTATTAGTCCTTGCATGCCGATAGCATGATCATCACCTTCTAACAGAGCAAGTTCCTCAAGAGTTTGACTCTCTTTTCTATTTTGGTAAGCTTCCACAGGTTCCATTTTCTTTTTAAGCAATGGATGTGACAGATCTTCATATCTTATCTCCATTCCACGTTTCATGTAACTAAAAGCTTTATTAATATCACAAGATTTATTATTAACAATAGTGGCACCAAGAAGTTCAAGAGCATCAATTCTCTGTTCCTTTGTACATTCCGGTCTGTTGATAAGATACTCCACGATTTCAATGGAACATTCATCACAGGCATGAAGAAGTGGTGTTAAACCTAGATTATTTGGCAGTTGTGATGCTCCAAGAGCCAAAAGTTGACTGACTATCTCTAAGTGACCCCCTTCAGCAGCGTAGTGAAGTGCAGTTTCGCCATTTGTGTCTTGTAGATCCACAAACGCGACTTTGTTTATAAGATAAGTTACAATACTTAAATGGCCATAGTCACACGCTGCCATTATAGGAGTGCCTTTATACTGATTGCGTGCATTCACATCTGCCCCATTCTCAACCAAACATCTCAAAACGTCAAGGTGTCCTTCGTGGGCAGCAGCCCTCAAAGGAGTCGAACCAGTCGATGCTCTGCCTTCAACATCTGCATTTCGTTCGATTAACAGTTTCACAACATCAAGATGACCAGTAACAGCAGCGGCCCACAAAGGTGTACAACCCTCTCTAACACTGTCCTCTATCTTAAGCGTTCCTCCATCCTCGATGTCTGCTCCATATCCTAGAAGAATCTTCACAGAATTCAGGTGTCCATTATGAGCAGCGATGATGAGAGGAGTGACAAAATGGCTGCCATCTTTAGTTTTTGTTTCCAAAGCGGTTTTTCTTTGTTTAGTTTTCAGCCGCTTTAAAAGATCGGTCAGATCAGATGAACCGTCACGAGCAGCTTGATAAACTTTGGTTACACTATCACTCACGGATAGCTTATCAGCCATTTAACATTAAACTTCAGCGAACCTGCTCTGGATGGAATTTACTACGTTTCGCTTGAAAGATAATACACTTGGGTAAGCAAAACAATTCACAACAAACAGTTTTTGAGGTCATAACCTCGTATAAGCAGACTCTAAAAATTCATTCGCACAGTAAGAATCAGTACGTCAGATCAGATGACTGACGTTTAGTTCAGTCTATTTGTTTCGTCAAAATGGTTCATGTTATTTCATTTCAGCACAGGTCTTCTTATACGAATCATATTCTATATTCTGTTTGAATAAACACTCAATGGCTTTAAACTGTCATTCGTGATACGCGTGATTCCCACCAATTATATACACTCATCGCCGTGTCTCGCTAGATTCCTTCCGTTTTTACAGGAGGTGTCACTGAAGTGTGGAACAAATTTGTTGTTTCAGGGGAGGTAGGGGAGCACGCTTCATGGGTAGGAAGTCCTAGCTGCGATTTCCTATAATTTCTGCCTTTTTCTCATTATAAAATTACCGATCTAACTCGATCTAACCGTTACAGTTTAGTACCTAGCCAAGAGCCATAATAGCTCTTGACCTAGCCCAATCACTGAAGAGCAGTGTTATTAAAACGCTGTGGCTGTATCAGGGGCACCAAACGCCAATTTTTGGTAAATATCTGTTCGGAAGACGATTAGAGATCTAGAATTTTCAAAACATTTGTTCTAAAATTTCTTCCTTGCCTGCCTCTCCTAGGATTTTCGAACATCTAAAAAATGGTATAATTGCACATTTTAACGGATTTTTACCCTAAAAAGGTCACATAGAATTTTCGGGAGCCTTTTTTCTGGCTGAAATTTTCGAAAAGGTAAGTTTTGGTCCCTATAATTTTCGGATCACTAGACTTTCAGCTGAATCCGAACAGATGAAAGATTTTTTGGGGATAAAAATATGCCTATATCTACAGTCTAAAATACGTTCAACAATACTATGTTTAAGTGGTTTTGAACTATATTCTCGTTGGATGCCCTTGCTGTATGCCCTGCAGCCTGGAAGGGTCGGGGGGGGGGGNACGCCAATTTTTGGTAAATATCTGTTCGGAAGACGATTAGAGATCTAGAATTTTCAAAACATTTGTTCTAAAATTTCTTCCTTGCCTGCCTCTCCTAGGATTTTCGAACATCTAAAAAATGGTATAATTGCACATTTTAACGGATTTTTACCCTAAAAAGGTCACATAGAATTTTCGGGAGCCTTTTTTCTGGCTGAAATTTTCGAAAAGGTAAGTTTTGGTCCCTATAATTTTCGGATCACTAGACTTTCAGCTGAATCCGAACAGATGAAAGATTTTTTGGGGATAAAAATATGCCTATATCTACAGTCTAAAATACGTTCAACAATACTATGTTTAAGTGGTTTTGAACTATATTCTCGTTGGATGCCCTTGCTGTATGCCCTGCAGCCTGGAAGGGTCGGGGGGGGGGGGTAATTTTTTAATTTTTTAAATTTTTGCTGGGTATGTGTCGCTGGCCTTGCAGAGCCCCTACCCCATTATAGTCTATTTTCTGGCCATTCATAGACCCCATCGTAGTTACTTTTGGGCAAATATGTAATTTTCGCGATCCCAACTTAGTCACTTTTTATTTTTATGAATTGACCCATTTTTTGGATTGAATGAAGAACACTTTACTTTTCATCTACGTTACAAACATTCTGGTACGTTTACTAACCGTAAATATGAAGAACTGTCTTACCCCCCAAAACCCGAAAATGTATAGTCAATCCAGTCGTGATAATGCGACCCCATCCAGCGGCACATCCCCATTATATTAGCCTCTTATAAGGAAGTACCGTCCCCGGGGGGAAGGGTCCTAAAAAAAACTAAATGCCCGGCAGTCAGAAAATGTTCTAGAATTTCTGCAAAATCCCTTTTCCTTTTTCTAATCTTTTGAAAGTATCCTATCTTCATTTAGAATTATTAAGCGATCAGGAAAACAAGAATGGCTTCGCAGCTGAGCGGTTGTGGTTTCTTGGCCATAGAGTAGAGTCGACGCCGTTTCGACACAAAAAAGTTGGAAAAATTTTAAAATTTCATGAGAAGGAGTGCGTGACTCACGGGCACGTTTTCATCCAAGCTCAATACCCTGCAGTCCAAAAGTTATAAGAGTCAGCTGGACAGGAGCGGATCCAGGATTTTTTCAAAGAGGGGGTTGTAAGTTTGAGAGTTCAAGGCAAACGTCCCAGGGCCAGGGGGAGGGGGAGGGGGGGGAGGATTAGGGTTATGTTTGAATATGTAGATTTTTTTTTCATTTGATTTCAGAGGAATTTCTAGGCACTATAAGTAATGGTAATAGAACAGAGTGTAGTACAATTCAGGGAGTAATCGGCGAGTAATTTCAAATTACGAGCCCGATTACCTCTGAATTGTATTACACGAAGTCCCATCACCGATTAGTTGTGTCATTAACAAAATGCGAGGATGTCAGTCTTGGGATATTTATTAATGTAAATAAAAGTCTCTGGACCAGTTAGTTTCATTCATTGTTCTTTTCCAGTTGAAGCTGGAAAGCTTACCTGGTCACTATTTTTCCATTGATTTTAATAGGTTATCATGTGCTATGTGGTTAATAAATTTCATTGGCTAGTGGCATTTGCTACTTGATTTTCATTGGTTCTTTAACTGTCCAATTTGAGTTACAGTAGCAAAATTAAGCTATAAATATGGGGTGTTAAGAACCAATCAGATTCAAGCATTTTGTTATTGACACAATTATTAAGGACTTAAGAGTACAGTGCAACACCAAACTTAATTTAGTATACAATGGGCAGGAGCCGATACACTTTACAAGACAGGAGCCGATTACTTAATAATACTTAGTAATCGGCTCCTGACAAGATCATTCTTAGCCTGTGAAAAGACGCCCCGTTCTTCCCCTTTTTATTTTTTTTATTTTTTGAGTAGCCTGCATAGCAAGCGTTTCTGCGCGAGTTCGTACTTTCGCGCTCATAACTCGACTGGAAACGCTTGCTACGCAGGCTATTGAAAAGGTGTTGACAGACCACACTTTTGTCTCATTTTACTACTCATGACCGGCACAAGGAAGCCGGTGTACAGACGCCCCCTGGTGTCTGTACACAGGCTAGCCGAAAAATTATTCGCAATGTCCACGCTAAAATCCCAATATAAGATCTCGAATTTAGTGTTGATTTCTGTACGTCCTTCTATTTGTTTACAATAGGCCACCGGCAGAGAACAGATGCACCTGCAACCGGTACAAAAATAAAAAACTGATCGGTGGTCTCACTTCACATGCCTATTTCCAGAGAGCCGAAAGACAGGTAAACGTAGCACACAGGCGCACAGGCTAGCCTCCCCCGAAGACTTGAAGGATGAAAAACGAGCTTCCCTAAAAACGCCTGCGTGGGAGGCTAGATTTTTCCCGGGGAATCAGGAGCCCATCACCAATCGGCAATACCGGAAATTACTTGCATCATGGCATTAAGATTACAAGCAATCAGAAGCTTTCCCCTACATTCCGGGGAAACGCCTGCGTGGGAGGCTAGGGTAAACGGGATACGGGAACACGGTTAAAGATTCACAGACTTCTCTCTGCTACCACCACACTCGCGCACAGAACGCCTAAAATGTGCCAAATCCGCGTAGGACTGGGGAACGGTCGCTTTTTCCTTCAATATGGCGTCCAAAGGGAACTCGGTGTTTTCACGAATCATTCGCCGTGAACTTCCCGCTACGTTTCTTCATGAGGATGATCAGGTAAACCAAGAACGATGTGTAACTCGAACTCTAATTCTACACCGACTACACTCGCACCTATAGTTGAACACCTGCAAATTCAACAAATTCAGCCTGCAGTCACTGCAGTTGCCTGAAGGCTGGTGAGAATAATGTAATCTTGTATTCTCCCCTTTCTCTATGGCTATGGGCACTCGTTCATATTCAAACTCCCAGTGACGTGTTGGTGGGTGGGGGATGGGATAGGGTGGGTGTTAAAATTTGAAATGAGCGGTTTACATTTGTGGTACCCACACTTTTTTCAAAAAGATATCTCTTGATGCAAGTTTAAAAAATTGCTTAATTCTGTATGTAAAACAAAATGAATACTGGGTCATTAAATGAGGTCTTTGTCTTAAAAACGGTAGCAAAATGAACCTATTTTGCCTACACTACCCAGATAGACACCTACACAAGAATAAATACAGGGGCCTGTAGGTCAGCAAAAACCTCAAAGCAAGTTTGTTACAAAATTACCATTAGATTACAAGACCACACTTAATTACAAAACACCCTCTGGTAAAAAACAAACCTTGAAAGAAGCTAAGTACAACACTGCCAGATACGAAAACCCAAAACCACTTTGTGGAAAAAAGGGAACGTACATCGCTGCCTGCTGAAATCAGCTGCGGTGCCGACAACTCAGGGGCAGAGGTATGCAAAAACTACCTTATTGGAACTGAATTTCGTGGGTAGTTAATTTCACAATTTTGACAAGAGAGTATTTTGCAGAATTTTATTTTCAAGATTTTAACAGGCAAATGTGATAAAAGGACAATAAAATTCACGATTTAACCATTCTCAACTTCATTTTATTTTTTCAAAAGTCTGAACCTTTAAAAACTTTTCGATAAACTACAACAAAATAATAATGTGTGAAATCTTTGAAAACTAAAGTTATTTCAAAAGTGAAGATACAAAAAGGAGCTTACCAGTAAAACCAGTCAGCAATTTGTGTTTGTCCATACATATCCTTCATATGTCAATTGTGGCCACTACAAGTTAATTCTTCAGGGTTGTCACTAAGATTTCAAGTTTCAAGTTACGGGGTATTTGTAGTTAGTAGCCGGAGAAGTCGCAAGCAGTCATGGAGACCCCCCCCCCCTCCCCCAAGAAGTTTTTGAAGTGCAACTTCTACCGTTTTCCAAAAGGCATTCCCGCTCCAAAAAAGCAATCTTCATCAAGAGTACAGCTATCATCAGCGGTTTTATGATGATCATGTCTTTATTAAAGAAAACTACAACATTCTGAGACACTAAAATAATAACTTTTTACTTTACGTAAAGGCTCGTTAGAGGGCTTTTTAGTGGCCGCCAAATGGGAATATACATGTAAGCACCGGGTCTGAAAACATGACAAGTAGGCACCAGTCATGTTATCCACACAGTCTTGTCTTCATGCAGACAAGGCGCATGCTGGCTAGTGCAGTGTTAAATCACAACGATACTTTACAAATGTTAAAAATGTGGAAGGGACAATTAATTCTTATATGGTGCCAATGAATTAACATGCGCTGCAAAATTAATTGTAAATCCTCATTTAATTTATACGTAAGAACGAAACAACTTACGTAGGGAAAACAAAAGTAAAACTAATATTACAAATCACGGAGAAGCGTAAGGACGTCAAGCGAACGATGAATGTACGAGAAAGCATCATAAACACGAGGTTACTATGGTTTGTTGAAAAATAAAAGTATGATAAGGCTAAAACAATCCTAACGTATGAAAAATCGCGGGATAAAATATTGCAAAACTAAACTGCATAACTGGTAACATTAGTGGTCTTGAATTTAGGAACGAAACATCACTTAACATACGAAGAAACTGACCTACGGAAAAGCGTTTAAAAGACAGGGCTAATACTTTATAAACGACGCTGAGATGTCAAAACAAGACTGAAGGAGAAGAATGCAAAAGTAATGCTAATGCTTAACTTCACTTTTATATATAACTTCTTGGAAGTAGAACTGAGAGGATGTGATCTTGACCTGCGGACAATGATCGAACATTTCCCGTTGACCGTGCGTTATTTTATATACTCGATACCTAAAGTTAAATGTAGACCTGGTCACTTAACGTCAATTTACTAAACATTGAAATCGGTCATAGTCTTCATCTTCAAAGCCTTCATCATAATTCTCATTATCATCAACATCAGCATCAGGGAGATTTAACGTTCGGATGAAGCCTTAACTTCTTCTGTGATGTCAACAGAGATCTGCTCAGGTCTTTCATCGTGAACAAAGAGTGCAGATTCCTTTGCCACTTCTTCGACATGTTCAACACAAAGCCTACACAACAGTTGATGACAAAGGTGACGGCAGCGAAAACGCCACTTTTAAAATGAATTGGCGTTTTTTCCAACTTTGTCGTGTTTATTTCAATTCGCTGAAAATAGCTAATGTAGGCCAATTTCCCCGGAGTTGATGTCTTTGGGACCACACTCAAGTTTAGAAAGAGAAAGAAAAGTTTGTTGTCACTTGTTTGCGTCCTCCATAAAATGTGAAACTAGGCATTTTCACGTTGTAGTCGTGCAGTAACAGCAAAGAAATGTACAAAAAAGCATGATGCACGTGCAAACTAGTTGTTTTGCTCAATAAACCTATTGCTTTTTTGACGTTCTCGTTCCCGTCACCGTCGTGGTTGCTAAAACTCCCTACTGACATTTCGCAAACGGAGAGTTTTCGCGCGTGTGTACTAGTACCAAATCTAAGTCAGATGTCTTTTTCCGACATTTCTTAGTTTTTGAACGCGAGTATTTCAAAATTACTTAAAACTGCTGCAGATGAAACTTGCATTTAGTTTGATGGATAGTCTTTGTGTGTTTGAAAGGTGTGCTCTTTTGGTTTAATTAAACGACGAAAGTAGCAGGGGGAAATCCCCGGCCCCCGGCCCTTAGTGACAACCCTGATTCTTTTTTTGAATTTTCTATGTGGGTATAAAATTTCTCGTGCTTAAAAATCATGAGGATTTATTTTCGTGATTTTTTCTACAATCTTGAAAGACACGAAATTGATTACCAATAAGGTAGCTTCCAAATGCCTATAAACAAAATTATATAACAAAATTGGAAAATAAAAAAGTTAGGAGCTCAAATGAATGCTGACCTAGACTGATCCAAATTTGCAAATATGTACAACTAAACATGTCTGAAAAAACTACCCACAATTTCTCCTAGCCAAGCCATTCCTCTGGTCCGTGCCAGCAAAATAGCTATTAGTGCACCCACCATGACCTCAACACATGTAAAAAGGCCAAAATCTGGAATTACGTATTTCTGATTGGTCCACACAGAAAACATCTAGCACAGTTCTGTTCTGATTGGCTTAAAGGTTTTATGTTTTACAGGATTTTGACACTTGCAATTAAATAGTGTTTGAATAAGATGTATCTGATTCATTTAGATAACATATTCCCCCAGGTTTAAAGGTGATGTTACATGCCTGGATACATAGACTGATCTGCAATGGCGATTTTTAGCACAACAAAGCATTGCAATGTTAAAACAGTGTTGTAACCATTTGAAACAATGTTGCAACACTGTTTGTGCTCAAAATTATTGTCTTCTCGAATTGTCCTGTGTAACATCACCTTAAGTTTGTAGTTTCATTTTTGTGGCTAATAATACAGTCAAACCACCCATAAGTGACCACTCAAAATGTGAAGAGTTGGTGTTCACTTATCAGAGATGGTTGCTTATGAGAGTCAAACTGCAGGAGGTCTTTTATGAGGAGAAATCTGGAAACATCAGATCTAGGTTTTGGAGAGAATTTCTTGGAAACATTTTTAGATAACAATAATATTATATGTAAATCCATGTTGTTTCTAAAGGTTTGTCTACTATCCTTAGTAACAAAGTAGATGTTGGGAACAAAAAACAGAACTACATTACATCAGGTGGTCGCTGCTCAAGAAGAGGTTTAAAAACAATGGAAAATCTTAAAACCCTCATGCTAAACAATGGTTGTCGTCGCTCATTGTTATTCGGACTTTAACTGAGGAATTGACTGAGACAACTTGAATGAAACGAAGCCATTCTTTCTCTCCTTTAATCACACAAGGACTCCTGGGAAGACTCCAAAAACTACTTCATGTAGCATCTCTCCTTTTGCAGTAAAAAACGATTTTACTAAAATCAGCGACTTGAATTCAGAAATTATCTGGCCTAGAACGCGTACTTAAATGTCTTTCTGCTATATGTTGACTTGATCCTAGGAAGTAAAGCAAAAACTCAGGTTCAAAGAACTAAAGTTAATGTCAAAGTTCAGTTCATAAATCGTCTATTAAACGTAGTCTGCAAATCTTGATGGGCGAACACGGACTCTGCCACTTCTTGTAACAAGAGTCTGAGGTTGCTGCGATTTCCTTTCTTCTTTCCTTTCTTCTTTCGATGTAAGTTCAGGGTGGACATCTGCTGGTTTTGGCAAAGGTGAGCTCTGCTTGGTGGAGCTGCTATCGGTGATGATGGGCTGCTGATGTCCTTGACCAGGATCTTGGTGGATGAACTTCCGATTACATCTGTATAGGTTTCCGTTACCTGTTTCGATCAGGTACGAACGTGGGCCAACTTTTGCCACACACGAGCCTTTGTCCCGTGGAGCTTTGGGGTTTACTGGCTGAAGACGTACTGGTTCTCCAATTTGAAGCTCTGGCAATGGTCTTGCGCTCTTGCCGTAAGCTGCTTTGGTCTGCTGCCTCTTACGTTTAATGTTGTCATGTACACCTTCTGACGTGAACAACTGTCCCACATAAGTTACTTGGTCTAACTTCAACCTCAACTTGTTCTTGTTAAATTTTAGATTAACACTGCGTGCATGCTTTAGCAAGTTCACTAAATTGCGATCGTGATCTGTTAAAGCTTCTTCCATAGATTCTCTGCTGCCATAACATTAGATGTCATCTGCAATTACTTCTACTCCATTAAGGCCTGCGAGCGCTTCATTCTGGCGCCGTTGATACTCTTTTGGGGCACTGCTGATTCCTTGTGGCATGCAAAGCTAGTGACATCTCCCAAAAGGAGTCCAGAACGTTGTAAGGAGTGAACTTTCATTGTCAAGCTTAACTTGATGGAACCCATCTTTGGCATCTAATACTGTAAATACTTTTGCCTTTGACAGCTTTGGTAGCACCTGGTCCACTGTCAGCATCTGATACTTTGGCCTCTTTATGGCTCTATTCACATCACGTTGATCAATGCACACCCTCAGTTTCCCGGGCTTCTGCACAGCTACAAGACTACTGATCCATTCTGTTGGCTTAGTTTCCTTGACAATGATGCCTTGCTTCCCACTTAATTCTGACACCATGTTATTCGGACTTTAACTGAGGAATTGACTGAGACAACTTGAATGAAACGAAGCCATGCTTTCTCTCCTTTAATCACACAAGGACTCCTAGGAAGACTCCAAAAACTACCTCATGTAACACTCATGGAGGCAGTCATTTACAAGAGTTTCCAACCATAAGGCTTTGACTGGGAAAAGTGTGGTGGTTTAGATATTAAAAGTTGAGGTCACCTAAGGAAGGTGTCGTTTATGAGACATGGTGGCACATGGAGGTTCAACTGTTATATTGAAATAAAACTCTAGATGATATTACCTTATCACAGAAATAATCTTGTGTTAGTTTTTTAAAGAAATGAATGTTTTGAGGTTAATTTATTTAAATGGAGGGTGGCAAGTGGCCTGTGGAAAAAAAATTAGCAGGCGTTCTTTTTCTCCCTCTCTTCTGAAAGAAAGAGCCTTGTCGCAGGTTAACATAGGTATTAAATATCATATTCTCCTTCATGCCTTTCCCCCAACTCCACCACTTAACCCCTTTTACAGAGAAATTTAATATAATTGCCCTCATACATCCATTATCAACCATAGAGTTGGATAAACTATAAACAGAAATAGCAATGAGTGAGTAGGTACTTTTGATTACAGTCGATTTGATTACTTTATTTTCAGTGCATAGCCATTGAGGACATTAATCCACAAGCCCCAGTTCATTTCCTGGTTATACCAAAGAAAGAAATAAGAAAGATAACTGATGCTACAGATGAGGATGAACAAGTATGTTAACCACTTTGTTTTTTTATAGTACATTTACCCCTTGATTTTTATATGACTGCTGTGTTTAAAAATTAAGGTATTGCTGTCATTGCAAGTTAAATTTACTGGATGGGTCAATTATTTAATACCCTCAGAGAGCTGTTATCAGTACCAGGAGTTTGGGTGGGTGTTTGCCATGGGCACCCTGAATCCCTTAGCCCATTACTATAGGGTCAAACCTTTAAAAAGTTGACACTCATGAGATCAGAGTAACGGCATTTGGGTTCCCTGTGAGGGTATCTTGGATGGTATATCACACCATTGCAGCGTGCAAAGAAAGTCGTGTCCGATAGCCCGGGGCTAGTGGATTTTGCTATTGAGCTAGTGACTTTTGTTCTTAACTTGTCCAACGGGCAAGTGATGTTTTGGGGGGAAATTCAAATTACAGAAGGATTGTAATCAATCCTGCTAATCAAAAAGGGTTTTGGGGACTAGTTGAAATGACTTGTGGGCTAGTACATGCTGGCTACAGCTTGTCCGAATGACAGGCTGTAAAACTGACTGTCTTTGCACCCTGCCATTGACTACAAACCTACCCCTATCCCGCCTCCTTTATGTTTCATCCCAGGGGGGTACTTCTCAGTAGTAGGCTGATGGTTATGAGCCACTGGATGGGGTCGCATTTTCACGACAGGATTGACTATTATGGAGTTGCATTTAAAGGAATTTAAAGGAAAAATGGAATAGCAGATCAGGCTAGAAATGGGGAGTTCTGGATCCTATTAACCTGTCCTCTCACTTTCAACTCCTTTTTCACCCAGTCACGTTGAGAGAGAAATTCTTATAATGAAAATGTATCAGAGCTGTCATAAATTTTTAGAGCAGCCATAGCAAGTAAAGATTCACCCATAACATCTTCCCAGAACTTTGTAGTGTCACCTAAAATTGTAGCTTCCACTTTGATCAACCATAAAATGAAGTGAGCTCAGCTGTAAAAGGTGTTGTGGGTTATGGCCCTTAATGACAGCTTTGTGAATGACTATGTTTTTTTTTTCAGCTTCTTGGTCACTGTATGATTGTCGCAAAGAAAGTAGCAGCCCAGAAGGGTATTGACCAGGAAGGCTATCGTGTGGTAATCAATAATGGTCAACATGGCTGTCAGTCTGTCTATCACATCCTTTTACACGTTTTAGGAGGGCGAAAGCTTAAGTTCCCTCCAGGATGACTGGGTAATATCTAATTTTAACATCTTGATGTCTACATTATTCTGTTCTTGATATGATGTTCCAGAAAACACCCTTTAAAAACGTCTGCTTACGTGTATGAACTCCCCACTGAGAATAACACCTCTGCAATTATAGGCCCATATTCGACTTGAAAACGAAGAAAATTAAAACAGAATCCATCGAGAAATTGAGTAATTTTTATTCTCAGGGGACAAAAATCTTGTACCAGAATAATTTAAAGAATATTGCATTCTTTTTTTACATTTTTCAAGGCCTAAAGAAGTAATTAGTCATATGTAATAACTCCAAAGAACATTTCTCATAGGAGTCCGAGAAAATGAATGTCAAATTTCACAAGATTTGTGAAAACACAGGTAAACTTCTGAAAATTTCATGTGTAAGATGCAATTTTGTGAAATTTGACATTTTGTGAAATTTTCTGTGGTGTTATTACAGATAACTAATTACATCTTCAGCCCTTTAAAAATGCAAAAAATAATGCAATATGCTCTTAATTATTCTGGTACAAGGTTTTTGTCCACTGAAAATTAAAATATTATTGCCCAATTCCCTGGTGGATTCCGTCTTTAGTTAATACATCTGATTATAAGCCCCCCCCCCCCTTCCCCCTCACCCCTTCCATTTAAGCCCCCCCCCCCCCTTCCCCCTCACCCCTTCCCTCCAACTGTATTGAGGTGAAAACGCGTTATCATGATGTTTTGAAGCTTAACTAACAAGTCAGTCAATGCAATACTTATTTTGATCTGCACTACTATAGCTTGTTGTAAAGCGCTTTTTCTATTTCTGTTTTAAGCCCTCTCGGATATAAGTCCCTCTGTTTATAAACTCCCCTAAAACCCCTTAAGATGATGTGTAAGCCCAGGGCTTGTAAGCGGCAATTTATGGTAATTACCCATACTCTTCACCAGCAGCAGAGACGCAACGAGACTGCTGACTGGTGGCCATTTTCGATTCCTGGGATGTCAACGTTCTTGTTGCTTAAGATTGCAGTGAAGAAATGCCTTTTTGGACCCGAACTAAATGTCTTTCTTGTCCACTGACCTTTAAGAGACAACGTTTGAAATCAGGTAATTGGCAATTGTGAAAGGAGAAATATGATGGAAAAAAAAACATTATTATTTAATTTTTCTAATTCAAACTCTATGGTCAGGATATTTTTACTGCATGCAGTTTAATTAACAATTATTCGTCGAGCCCGAGTGGGCTCTGACTCCAAAGCCCATGAGGCTAAAGGCTGAATGGGCTATTGACTCAGAGGCCATGAGGGCGAGAGGAATAATTGCTTTAGTAAAATCCAACTAGTTGGTCAAAAATATCGAGACAAAACAACTTTAGCTAGCAAAACGCGATTCATACGCCATTATTTTGGTTTTCAAAGCCGGCGCTTTTCGCTACTAGTCGGTTGTAACATATAGCTTATAGCCTAGTAGTAGCTCAACCAATCAGAACGCAGCATTGATAATAGACCACATGTTGGATTTTACTAAAGACTTTAATGTTGGGAGCTTAAGCAACGACGACGGCGACGACGGCAACGACAATGAGAGCGCCAAAAAGCAATGGGTCAAGGGACTGTTTACATGGAGGTGGGGGACCCTATACATGTAGTTAGGTAAGATAACCCGCTAAGGTGAGGTTACCCGGCCGCATTTTAAATGAGAATAGAAGAACATTAACTGCCACAACATGTCAGTTTTTGGGGGGATAGCGGGGTTGTTAAGGCGGGTTATTTTTTACCCCTCTCAATCGGGTTACACCATTTACCTAGGGTCCATTTAAACAAGCCTGTAGATCAGCAAAACAACAACTTTACACGTGCATCACGCGTTTTGTACATTTCGTTTCCTTCGTCCCACGACTGCGACGTTTTAAAAAAAACTCCACGTCTTGTTAGGGATCAGTGAACACGGCACAAGGACTTTCTTTTTCTTTTCCTCACTGTTCGGAACAGTCCGTTTTTTGAATTCAGCTCCAGAAAAATTCGCCAACATTTGTCGAATTGAACGAGGTGGAATAAGTGCGATGAAGTTTAAAACAGCGCGAATTCATTTTTTGAGTGACGTTATCGCAGCTACCTATTAAAAGCTCCCTTTAACAAAAGACATGGCCACCATGGGCGTAGCCCCTTCAGATAGTGGAGAGGAAGAGGGGCGCGAAATGAAGAACAGGGCTGCCACCCCACTGCTGTTTTGTTTGTTTTCTTTCCTGTTTATTTTTCTTGGCCCTGCCCCCACTTTCTGAACGCCTGAAAAAGGTTAGCATAGAATGTTTATTATCTGAATAGAGAATAATAAAACAGGCTACTTTATAGAATTTACCAGCCTCTCAATTTATATCACAATAATATTCCATCTGGCAAAATTATTGCAGTAATCGGTTAATAACGTCTTTTATGTCGAAGTGTGCCCAGATCTTTATCTCATTTGAACTTCTGCATAATATAAAATTTGCAATGTGCATAACTCAGACTGTATTCTGCATTTCACCAACTTGTAGTGGCAAAGTTTTTCAAAAAGGTACAACATAATAACGGAACAAAAGTTAAAGCCGCGCGCACGAAAAACTGTATTTTATAATATAAACAGCAATGAAATACCACAGGTCACCCAGGCTCTTTGATAGTACCAAAGTACCAATCCAGTTAAATTACAGTGTTTGTATAGGGTAAAAATACGATCCTAAAATTTGTAGGAATTACCAAATAAAAGTCAATGAAACTTACTCTGCAGTTACCTGTTATTGTCCTTGTTTCGTGATAATTTGCTCAAATTCTCCCTCCATCCAATATAATACACTAGATAGGAGCAAGCACGAGATGACCTCTCAGCCCCCATCCTTCTCATTCCAACACCACGTTTTCTACGGAATTCGATCTCCAACGTAACGCAAAGTAAACACGCTAGGCTCATAGGAATAGGACTGCCCCAGAGATGGAAACCAATGAAGCTTTCCCAGGTAGAGAAACGAATTCAGCAGACTTTGTGAAACTCGAAGAAGAGAATCCAAAAAATTGTAGACCACTGTAATAAGTCAACTCCACCCCCTGGGCTTTCTTTGTGACTTACTGGACATCACTGGTCTAAAGTAAACCCGTCCGCCGCTGGTAACATTTGTTCGAGGGCAATCACGAGTCGCCAAAGTTAAACCCGTGCGCAAGCCAAAATAACGAAAAATATAACAGCTGGTGGCTATACCATTTTGTAATGTTGAATTGAACTTTCGAAAAAGTCCAACGTTTTCCATTTTTTTAGTAAGAAAGGAAGCTTAATAAGTATAAGGGGTCAATAAAAGTTGTTGTTGTTGTTGTATTGACCAACCACGACAGCGACAACAAGAACAACAATTAGCAATGGTACTTTTGATTAGCAAACATCAACTTTACGTGAATCACGCCTTTGTTACCTTTTTTTTCTCAAAAAGCGTGGTGCACGTGCCAAGTTGATGCCTGCTTCACACGTGGAATGGTGATTGTGCGGTTCCCGATATATCTGTTCTCAGTTCAACGTTTGAGATCACTCAATTGGCAGTTGAAAAAGGTAAAAATTTGGTAACGAATTATATAGTTTCTGCTCAGGCTCTTTTTATCGCATGCCGTTTAATAGCCGGAGCTGCAGCCGGCCCTTGCATCGTCTAAACCATAGGTCTAAACCTTTGTATAGTCTGTACATTGACTTCGACCCAAGCTAGCCGCTTACAGACTTGTTAAAATATCGGAAATCATGGTTCTCTCTAAGGACTTCGCAATATACCATCACAATACGTATAGCCCGTGAGTATCTCATACGTGTCTGTACGTGCAATGTGGGTTTCTTATGAAAGGCCAGTTTCTCTTCCCAAGCGTGCTCAGTCTTTTCGGTGTTTCGTGCACTTCTGGTCCCTCAGATGCTCCACATTTACACGATGCTTAAGCTACGCCCGTTAGTCTACGTTTTGCAAGTTGGCCGCGCTTAGCCTGTTCCGTCAAACTTCTGTCGATGCTCATTGGGTTCTTGAACTTGTAAGGTAAGAAATACTTTGACTCTTATTAGCTTGTTTTCATGCTAGCATGCTGCCTCTTTCCTTTCGGTAGGTTGCATTTTAGATTTGGCTAGCGTTAACGGGTGTCATAATCAGAAGCATGTTTATGGCGAGAGGACGCGCGAGCGTGCAGCGAATTCGCGAGAAGGGCGGAGGTCTTTTCTTTCCTCCGCCCTTTGAACCCGCGTCTCCTTTCGCGTGCGGCTCTCGCGTGACTTCTCGCGACTCTCCCAAATGGAGACTTTGCTCGAAGGCTAAAGGATGTTTATGATTTCTCAGGCATTTAGTTGTTCGTCTAGCTCTAGTTTTCAGCAAACAGTAGTTTATCTCTGTAGTATTAATGTGAGTTTGTCTAGCAAAAGTACTTCGTAGTAATAACGTTCGAAAACGTTGTAACGCCGTTGTCTTTTATAACGTTTTTAAAAATTTCTTAAAATATGTTTTTTAGAAAAGTCTTTTCGCCATTTTTTAGAGCTAATTTTTGTTTTTATGAATTCACTTTTTTAAAAACTAAATTGCATAACAATGGCAAACAAGCAGTTGAATGCAGGCTAATCAAATCAGTTTTTTCTCTCGAAATGGGCCAAAGCAATCCCCCTTTTTTTCGTAATTTCCAGAGCTCATGATTGTCTTGATGCACTTTCTAAGGACCGTTTCGGTACCAGTTGAAACATGTAAAAGAGACATCACCAGGAAGTGCGGAATCCAAAGACGCCAACTCTAAATGAGTTTCTTCTGGTTCCTGAAAATAGCCAAGGCGTGGAGCAGGGTTTAGAAAGGTTTTCGAATACAAAGAAGCGAAAAATGGGGACGGTGAATTCGAAAAGAAAGTTCGTCTCGTTTAATGGACTTCCTATCAAACCGTCCTTTATTACTGTTGATTTGTCCAATAAAATTATAAATCACATGACTCCAAACGATTTTATAGTGTTTCCATTGTGTGGATCTAAAGCTTAAAGGAAGAATTCTACCATCGGTTACAGTTAAAAAACTTTTATTGCATTGTTTTACTAATTTTACATTCACCCCTTGGATTGTTTCTTAGAAATTGCAATACTTGGCTTTTAACTGAAATTACAAACTCGAATACACTATTCACTTAAACTCGCACAAGTGAAATGCGGGAAATGGGAACTAGTGATTTCCCGTTTTAAAGATTGGACTTCCCTTATGAAAAATTTCTGGATTCACCTATGCAAGCTTAATCTGAAAACGAACATACCAAATATTTCCCAAAGCAAAAAGAAATGATTAGTAAAAATATCTCTTCCTTATTTTGAATCAGTCCGGCTAAATCCTGATTTACTAGAGCTAAATCACCACTGCCCATTGATGAAGTTATACATTCAAAGAACTAATCTAAAGATTACTTACAGGCCTACTTTGGTATTTTATTGGCACCGTTTTTATTGGTGGTCAGCGTATGTGGATGACTCAGTTTACCCTGTATCCTTTAAATCTTCTCTCTTTTTTTTGGCTTTCTTGCTCTAACTTATTAGTTCTTAATGTCTTATTAATCTGCAGGATTTTTTTCTGGGGTTTATCGATCTTTTTAAGTCACAATCATGTTTTTTACGGAGAATTGTCGGTCCTCCAGTTATTTCTGATTGTCCTTCGATCCTGGGCATACAAAGTTCACTCATGTCCGAATTTCTCCAATATTTTCGTGACAGAGTATCTATAAGAGTAACAGGACAATACTAAGAAAAATAAAGATTACGCGCGTTTACCGTATTTATTCGAATAAGCGCCCAACCTCGAATTAGCGCCCACTTCGAATAAGCGCCCATGCTAAAGGCAGAAAACGTTAATAAGCGCCCACCCCACCCCACTCCCTCCCACAAAAACTCCAATAAGAGATAATAAGAGACCCTCCCGAAGACGGAGTTTTCTTCAAAGTATTTTACAAAAACCTTGCTTTGCTACATCTTCACTTTTTGTTAGTACCATTTATTGTTTTGTTGCAAAATATACTACTACACTTGCTGAGAATGGTGACAATTTAATAAGCGCCCAGCCTCGAATAAGCGCCCACCACGAATAAACGCCCACTCTCAAGATCCAAAAATTTAATAAGCGCCCAGGGCGGTTAATCGAATAAATACGGTATTTCACATATTTCAAAGACCTATATATATACTTTTAAAACTGAGCTATCGCCGAGCCTATAGCTTATATCTAACCTACAGTTCGAGGTAAAAAAGGTTAAGTTTTTTCGTATGTAAATCAAGTCATCCTCGGTATATACTACGACTAAGGTTGGGCAACTGCCTAAATGAATTAAACAAATTTTAATGTTTACACGAATAAAAATGTGCTAGGCGTACCTTTTTTTTCGGCCTTTAATCGCTTGTTCCATTCTTGTACCCAAAAGCCAGGCATATGGCGCTGACCAAAAGAATCGCGCCTCATGCACTTGATCAGATAATGAAATTCAGTGGCAGTTCAATGGAAGTTTAATCCTTAGACTGCCAAAGGCCTTGACAGTTTTTATTTGTAATTTTCTAACAGTACCTGCAGCCACAAACCTATACTCATTTAAGAAACATGGTTAAATNCAAGTCATCCTCGGTATATACTACGACTAAGGTTGGGCAACTGCCTAAATGAATTAAACAAATTTTAATGTTTACACGAATAAAAATGTGCTAGGCGTACCTTTTTTTTTCGGCCTTTAATCGCTTGTTCCATTCTTGTACCCAAAAGCCAGGCATATGGCGCTGACCAAAAGAATCGCGCCTCATGCACTTGATCAGATAATGAAATTCAGTGGCAGTTCAATGGAAGTTTAATCCTTAGACTGCCAAAGGCCTTGACAGTTTTTATTTGTAATTTTCTAACAGTACCTGCAGCCACAAACCTATACTCATTTAAGAAACATGGTTAAATGTAAATGTTCTATTTATAGTGGAAGTGCACTTTATTTATTAGCTACCCAGCTACTTCACAGGCACCCCACTCAAACAACCAGAAACATATGATTTAATTCAAACGTAGCACGATTTAAGACCCAACTCAGCAGGAGGCAAACCAGTTAGTTATTTACAAGCGGGATCGAGTAGTTCAACTGAGGAGAACCGTTAAACCGATCTATCTAATGGTTATGGCGGTGCTCGAGACTTCCAGATGCGGATTGAAACATGGAACCTCCGGATTGCGAGTCTAACGCGCTCACCACATTCATGACCACACTGTCTTCTAGCACGTTTAAAGAACAGGAGCGTATATGTTGTGGTTATTTTATCCTTGGTTTAATTTTTATTTTTCCGTAAATTTTTAGGCATGGTATTCTATGATAATGAGTTTGAAATAAAGAAAAATAAAAATTAAGCCAAAGAAAAAATTAAACCACAACATATATACCTGAAACGCATGGGTGTACTCTTCAAATCTGACGTGCTGAATCTACTACAAAAAAAATGACGCGAAAGATAAAATGGAGTTTGTTTCACCGAATATACTACGTGTAGCGTGAGAATGACAACGCAGGATATATCTCGGTTCTTGTTCCCCACGCTAGTCACATTTTACTTGTCGCCCGTTCGTGTCATGACTGGGGTGGTAGTGGTGATGACATGGGGCATCCTCCTATCTCTCCAGACGTTCACTCCCCACGCTGTATTACTGTTAAAAACCATTAACTAAAAAAATACAGAAAAGATCCTATCAAACCCTTCTTAAACTAGTTTTTCTAGTTCACCAATGTTGTCTTCCATACTAGGTCTGTCTTGAGGATTGTCTTGTAAACATCTACGAATAAGAGCTCTTAGCAGTTTCTTTTTCACCATGGCGACTTGCTCGGCACGCCTGTCAGGATTTGGTAGTTTCCCGATGCAAATCTCGCAGATGAGAACACCAAAACTGTACACATCAACCTGAAGACGAAAAATAGACGATAACAGCACTATAGTTCCACATCAATACTTATCTCCTTTTGCATCATTTTACTCCTTTGTACTAACACACAAAACACTTCAAAGTTAGTAATCCTAGGGCATAGATCTTATTCCTAAAGAGGACTCATTATTGTAAAACCGCAAATGAATCTTTTATATACCATTCTTTATTCCACCCAGCACTCGACGACGGAACTCGGTCACAAAAATCTTTCACTGTTTACCCAAATACTCAAATCTTTGGTCTTTTGGTCTAGACTGTCAAGGACGTATTTTTTAATGATTCTAGATGATTACACGATCAAGGTCTAAGGTCAACTAACTGACCACACAATACATTAGGACGATATATGAGTCGAGCATGGTTACTAAGGAAGAGAATTTAGGGCTAATCCCACAACCCCTTATCCCCAAATCACAAAACCAGAACGTTTTCTCGACTTTTTCACACCCATATAACGCATCTTTTAGCCCTTGGGTCGGTATCTCGCAGGGATTTAATATTCTTAATGAATGTCTACAACAGTAAAACAAATAACAAATACAGATTAGATATGATGCAGACGACATACCTTCACCGTCTGATTTTTAGTAAACGCTTCAGGAGCACTATATACTGCAGCACCTGGACAAACTGACAAGGTATGCTGCATGAAATTAGCAGCACCATAATCCGACACTTTGCCTCGCCATTGGTCCGCTTGTCGCCATAGCAACACGTTGGCGCTGCTGATATCGCGGTGGATGATGGGGCGTGGTTTCTTTTGGTGCAGGTAATTCAATGCACGCGCCACATCCAGAGAAATAGCGACCACTTCAGCTGTAGAGAGAGATCGCTGCTCCAGCAATTTTCGCAAACTCGTTTCCATGAGCTCTGTCACGAACAAAGGACTTCCTTCATCGTTTGTTGCTCCGATGAATAGCAGCAAACAAGGATGGCGGCATTTTGAAGCGATGCTCATTTCTCGCTCAAACATTTCTCTGTTATGAGAGGAGAGGTTCAGAAGCACCTCGTAAATCTGTTTCACGGCAACAGTGCAGCCACAATACTTGCCTTCGACAACACTTCCCCAGCCTCCTTTACCAATGCATTCCTCTGTCAGCTGAATTTGATCACGTGAAATGACCCAATCAGGTGACTGTTGGCGTGGACGTTCACTTAACGCTTGTTGAGCTGTTGAAAGAGATATTTCCAGTTCATTCACTTCTTGTTCTTTTTCCCTCAGTTGTTCCCCCATGGTGGTATTTTCTTCATCTTTTTGTTGTAGCTGTCTTTGAGAATTTGTCAACTGTTGCGTCAACTCTCCCATTTGCCCATGAACATTTGTCAACTGTTGTGTCATCTTCCTTAATTCTCCATCTCTCACCTTCAGTTGCCCTTGAACATTTGTCAACTGTTGTGTCATCTGCCTCAATTGCCCATCTCTCTCCTTCAGTTGCCCTTGAACATTTGTCAACTGTTGTGTCATCTTCCTTAATTCTCCATCTCTCACCTTCAGTTGCCCTTGAACATTTGTCAACTGTTGTGTCATCTGCCTCAATTGCCCATCTCTCTCCTTCAGTTGCCCTTGAACATTTGTCAACTGTTGTGTCATCTTCCTTAATTCTCCATCTCTCACCTTCAGTTGCCCTTGAACATTTGTCAACTGTTGTGTCATCTGCCTCAATTGCCCATCTCTCTCCTTCAGTTGCCCTTGAACATTTGTCAACTGTTGTGTCATCTTCCTTAATTCTCCATCTCTCACCTTCAGTTGCCCTTGAACATTTGTCAACTGTTGTGTCATCTGCCTCAATTGCCCATCTCTCTCCTTCAGTTGCCCTTGAACATTTGTCAACTGTTGTGTCATCTTCCTTAATTCTCCATCTCTCACCTTCAGTTGCCCTTGAACATTTGTCAACTGTTGTGTCATCTGCCTCAATTGCCCATCTCTCTCCTTCAGTTGCCCTTGAACATTTGTCAACTGTTGTGTCATCTTCCTTAATTCTCCATCTCTCACCTTCAGTTGCCCTTGAACATTTGTAAACTGTTGTGTCATCTTCCTTAATTCTCCATCTCTCACCTTAAGTTGCATTGCCCTTGAACATTTGTTAACTGCTGTGTCACTTCCCTCAGTTGTCCCTCTTTCTGTCTTAGTTGCTCTTGGATACTTTCCAGCTGCTGTGTCAGATCCCTTAATTGTCCTTCAAGAAGGATAAAAGGAGGCCGCCGTAAGTTTATTTTACAGAGCAAAAACAGACAATCAACCTCCCTCTCTTACCCTCACTCTAATACCAACTCCGAGAGGTTAGGATCCATCTTCTACAGCTGCGTCATTCCACGGCCAAGGGGAAAGAGGTACGATCTCTAGGTAATAATGTACCTGGTGTGATGCTTAGTTTTTAATTTTTAACCCCTATATTAGGTATTCATTCCCCTCTCTTGTATTTCTCTTGGCCTTACTGTCATGGGTTTACCTTATTTTTCATTTATTACAAATGCAAATTCAATTTTTTTTATTGGGTTTTGTTTTTTTTATTTTTTTGTTGACCATACATTATGTCAATCCGTGAGAACAGACCAAATATCTTCTACCGCCTTAAACAATGAGGGAGCCGCCACATCGGGCCATTGGCGCCAGTCCCCTTGTTTGAAATATACTCACTCTTTACACCTCACCCGAACTGGCACCTAACAGCTCATCAATGGAGCTCAATGATTATCCAGGATACAATTATTCTTCTTAAACAGTAAACCTTTTACCCATACGGCGGCCATATTGACTAAGTTAAGATTTAAGGAATATTGTGGGATGCCCAGGGGGCATGAGCACATTCCGTTTAGTATTTACGAGCGCCTTTCGGGCATTTTTTCTGTAAGTTTTCTTAGAATAAGATTGTATAAGGGAAAAAGATCGCTGTGCTGTGTTTGGCAACCTCGTTCCCAGGGTTCTCTCCTAACCACCCTACGGGTAGGGCGGGTAGGAGAGAACTCTGGGAACGCGCCGTTTGATGGTCTTTTTCTCGAGAAATATACAGTGAAAGACTATATTTCAACTGATCGTGCTCATGCCCCCTGAACATCCCATAATACTCCTTAAATCGAATTAGTTCAATATGGCCGCCGTATCAGCAAAAAGGTCTATTAATCCCTTAATTAGACTCTCTTCAAGAGCCACAATGGCCCTTGATTCTCTTATATACCTGATATTTCCTTTGTTTCAGTCTCCTTCTGCGTGTTTTCATTAAGTTCTTTTTCTGTTCCAGTAAGAGATTCTCCTCCTTCTCTCCTCTTATCAGTTCCACTTCCTATTTTTCCAGCCTTTGGGAAAAGAGAAGGACATGCCCCTCAGGTATGTTTATTACCAAAGGTAATTTAGTACAATAAACGTACTATATTCTAAACTATTTAAACGATTCTTTTAGCCGTCTCTAAACCATGATCTGTTATAAATCCCTCAGGAATATGGCACTTATGTAGCCTGGTAAACAGGCTCTCTGTTTGGGGCTAGGGGGCAAAAAACAGCAGAGGCATTGCGAGGGGAAATGAAAGGGGAAATTGGCAAAATTCCCTTTCTCCCGCCTGCAAACGAGATTTACAAAAATGTGTTAGTGCTTCAGTTTAATTTGTTCCTTGAACTTCTTATATTTGGAAAAATTTGAATTCAGTGTAAATTCTTTTTCGCTAACGTCAATCGAATGGTTCATAACAGTTCTTATAGTCAGTAAATTGTCCCGAGTAACAATTGGGCCGCTTTAGAACATTCTGACTAGCTCCCGTTAGCTATATTATATAGCTTAATCTAGGTGGCTTCTGTACATGCTGCTACCAAATATGCCTTTTGTGGCTATCACGGCATTGCGATGGATCGTTTCATCCGAAAAGACGACTTTGGAAATTAATTAAGTGTGACGTATTTATAATAAACACAACATTGGACACGGAAATAAGTACTCCTCTCATTTCGTGACAGAAGTGACAGAAAAAAATTTACAAAATATAATATGTTAACATTTAAACCTTTCTTACATCTCCAACGTCGACACTCAGTCCTCTTTTCTCTGACAGTATTCTACAAGCCTCGTCAGTCTCACAGCTGTGCAGTGGTGTTTGACCATTCTTGTTTGGCAGCTTTGGGTCTGCACCTATTTCTAACAGCAACAGCAGCATTTCTGACAAAATCACGACTTCTTTAGGGTCAGCAGGCTTGAACGTCACAGCTAGATGGAGAGGTGTCTTTCCCTCGGTGTTAACGGCATTTACATCACACCCTGCGTGTAAAATAAGCTTCATGGTCTCAACACATGGAAACTTGCACACACTTTGCATTATGATTATGTCTTGCTGGTCACCATACAAAAAAATTGGGGTTTCATGCCATGCAACTAAGTGCAGTAAAGTATTCCCATCATTGGTTCGAAGGTTTAAACGCAAGAATCTTTGTAGAAAGTCAGTCATGTTGGCGTTTTGACCTTTAACTTTGATGTATATCATCAAAAGATAGAGAGCGCAGTAAAGCGTTTTTTCTTGCTCCTCGTTTTCATGCTCCTCTCGCGCGTTCTCACTTGCAGCAACCAGTGCTTCAAAAACGCGTTCAATAAAATCTAGTCTTAAAGGTACACCTTTTTGTACCATTATTCCAAACAAAGCTGCAAAATCTTTAAGGTCATCAAGATCTTTTAGTGTTATTGCAACAGCGCTCTTCACCTTTTTCTCAAACGCACGTTGCCACAAACCACAACAAAGCTCGTACTCCTCAGAGTCAGCTAAAACACATGCCCGGTAATGGATTTTCAGCGGATTTGCTAGGTTGTCAGACCCAAGGATTCTCTCTCTGATTATAAGTCCTTCCATGCCGATAGCATGATCATCACCTTCTAAAAGAGCAAGTTCCTCAAGAGTTTGACTCTCTTTTCTATTTTGATAAGCTTCCACAGGTTCCATTTTCTTTTTAAGCAATGGATGTGCCGGGTATTGGTATCTCATCTCCATTCCGCGTTTCATGTAACTAAAAGCTTTCTTAGTATCACAAGATGTATCATTGTTAGCAATGGTGGCACCAAGAAGTTCAAGAGCATCAATTCTCTGTTCCTTTGTACATTCCGCTCTGTCGATAAGATACTCCACGATTTCAATGAAACATTTATCACAGGCATAAAGAAGTGGTGCTAAACCTAGATTATTTGGCAGTTGTGATGCTCCAAGAGCCAAAAGCACGCTGACTATCTCTAAGTGCCCCCCTTTCACAGCGTAATGAAGTGCAGTGTCGCCATCTTCGTCTTGCAGATCCACAAAGGCACCTTCGTTAATAAACAGTTTAACAACATCAAGATGACCAGAAGCAGCAGCGGCCCATAAAGGTGTACAACCCTTTCTAACTTCGTTAGCTATCTTAAGTGTTCCTCGAGCATCGACGTGTGCTCCATATCCTAGAAGAATCTTCACAGAATTCAGGTGTCCATTGTGAGCAGCGATGATAAGAGGAGTGACAAAGTGGCTGCCATCTTTAGTTTTTGTTTCCAAAGCGGTTTTTCTTTGCTCAGTTGTTTTCAGCCGCTTTAAAATTTTCTCCAGATCAGAAGAACCGTCACGAGCAGCTTGATAAACTTTAGTTACACATTCTCTAACGGATAGGTTACCCATTTTACATGAAGCTTCAGTTAAGCCTCTAGTTTAAATTTACGGTTCACTTGAAAGGCAATACGCTAGCATGACCAAAACATCAAATAGACATTTTTAAGGTCATCACCTCGCATACTTTTTAAGCAGACTCTTATAAATTCAGTCGCACCCTTTATTTTATTTCGGCGAAGCGGAACATGTTTTGTCATTTCAGTTCAGGTTTACATATTAGTGTGAATAATGGCCATAAAATTTTCATTTTCTGTGTGATTGAAGAAACGATAGACACTCAGTGGCATTATCAAAAATATCATTCTTGATTCACTTGGATCTCACTAGTACAGCTGTAGATTCTTTCCGAGAAAACGGCAGGTATGGAATGAATTTGTTGTTTCTGGGCATGACTAGAGGAGAGCGGGATGCGGAGGGGGGCGGCGGGGAGCTCGCTTGGCTTAAAAAGGATAGAATGTTTAGAAAGGACAGTCCTAGCTGACAGTTCCTGTAAACCGTTTCCCATTACTAAATTTCTGATCTAACCCTTTTCGGTTCAGTTCTTAACCACAATCACTGTTGAGCTGTGTTACTGGCACCCGGTTTTCCAGTTTGTTGAGGAATTCAGTAAGGTAAGTGGAGTTCTATACCACGGTTACGTTAAGTCTCCAGACTTAAATAATGGCAGCTAGAAACGTCAAAATTTTTCTCGAGCGCAAATAGCAATCGGAAGACTTTTTTCTGTTTTCTGCGGCAAAAGCGAATGAGAGAGCAGATTGGAGCTCCGGGAATAATAAGCGAACGACTTTGAGAAAGTCTAGAGGTAATCATGTATTCACCCGCCTCCCCTTGGGCACCCGTTCACAATAAAATTGCAAGACTATGTTGGTACAAAGTGGGAGTTGGGATGGGGTGGGTGTTAAAATATGAAGAAAAAACTAATGAAACTTCGCCCTAAGAGATCAAATACAGCATACACAGCCGTGGTAAATATCCCATCCCCCTTCATGCTATTCCTCCACCCTACACAACGTTTCAAGAGAACTTCAGTTTAATTTGTTCCTTGAACTTCTTATATTTGGAAAAATTTGAATTCAGTGTAAATTCTTTTTCGCTAACGTCAATCGAATGGTTCATAACAGTTCTTATAGTCAGTAAATTGTCCCGAGTAACAATTGGGCCGCTTTAGAACATTCTGACTAGCTCCCGTTAGCTATATTATATAGCTTAATCTAGGTGGCTTCTGTACATGCTGCTACCAAATATGCCTTTTGTGGCTATCACGGCATTGCGATGGATCGTTTCATCCGAAAAGACGACTTTGGAAATTAATTAAGTGTGACGTATTTATAATAAACACAACATTGGACACGGAAATAAGTACTCCTCTCATTTCGTGACAGAAGTGACAGAAAAAAATTTACAAAATATAATATGTTAACATTTAAACCTTTCTTACATCTCCAACGTCGACACTCAGTCCTCTTTTCTCTGACAGTATTCTACAAGCCTCGTCAGTCTCACAGCTGTGCAGTGGTGTTTGACCATTCTTGTTTGGCAGCTTTGGGTCTGCACCTATTTCTAACAGCAACAGCAGCATTTCTGACAAAATCACGACTTCTTTAGGGTCAGCAGGCTTGAACGTCACAGCTAGATGGAGAGGTGTCTTTCCCTCGGTGTTAACGGCATTTACATCACACCCTGCGTGTAAAATAAGCTTCATGGTCTCAACACATGGAAACTTGCACACACTTTGCATTATAATTATGTCTTGCTGGTCACCATACAAAAAAATTGGGGTTTCATGCCATGCAACTAAGTGCAGTAAAGTATTCCCATCATTGGTTCGAAGGTTTAAACGCAAGAATCTTTGTAGAAAGTCAGTCATGTTGGCGTTTTGACCTTTAACTTTGATGTATATCATCAAAAGATAGAGAGCGCAGTAAAGCGTTTTTTCTTGCTCCTCGTTTTCATGCTCCTCTCGCGCGTTCTCACTTGCAGCAACCAGTGCTTCAAAAACGCGTTCAATAAAATCTAGTCTTAAAGGTACACCTTTTTGTACCATTATTCCAAACAAAGCTGCAAAATCTTTAAGGTCATCAAGATCTTTTAGTGTTATTGCAACAGCGCTCTTCACCTTTTTCTCAAACGCACGTTGCCACAAACCACAACAAAGCTCGTACTCCTCAGAGTCAGCTAAAACACATGCCCGGTAATGGATTTTCAGCGGATTTGCTAGGTTGTCAGACCCAAGGATTCTCTCTCTGATTATAAGTCCTTCCATGCCGATAGCATGATCATCACCTTCTAAAAGAGCAAGTTCCTCAAGAGTTTGACTCTCTTTTCTATTTTGATAAGCTTCCACAGGTTCCATTTTCTTTTTAAGCAATGGATGTGCCGGGTATTGGTATCTCATCTCCATTCCGCGTTTCATGTAACTAAAAGCTTTCTTAGTATCACAAGATGTATCATTGTTAGCAATGGTGGCACCAAGAAGTTCAAGAGCATCAATTCTCTGTTCCTTTGTACATTCCGCTCTGTCGATAAGATACTCCACGATTTCAATGAAACATTTATCACAGGCATAAAGAAGTGGTGCTAAACCTAGATTATTTGGCAGTTGTGATGCTCCAAGAGCCAAAAGCACGCTGACTATCTCTAAGTGCCCCCCTTTCACAGCGTAATGAAGTGCAGTGTCGCCATCTTCGTCTTGCAGATCCACAAAGGCACCTTCGTTAATAAACAGTTTAACAACATCAAGATGACCAGAAGCAGCAGCGGCCCATAAAGGTGTACAACCCTTTCTAACTTCGTTAGCTATCTTAAGTGTTCCTCGAGCATCGACGTGTGCTCCATATCCTAGAAGAATCTTCACAGAATTCAGGTGTCCATTGTGAGCAGCGATGATAAGAGGAGTGACAAAGTGGCTGCCATCTTTAGTTTTTGTTTCCAAAGCGGTTTTTCTTTGCTCAGTTGTTTTCAGCCGCTTTAAAATTTTCTCCAGATCAGAAGAACCGTCACGAGCAGCTTGATAAACTTTAGTTACACATTCTCTAACGGATAGGTTACCCATTTTACATGAAGCTTCAGTTAAGCCTCTAGTTTAAATTTACGGTTCACTTGAAAGGCAATACGCTAGCATGACCAAAACATCAAATAGACATTTTTAAGGTCATCACCTCGCATACTTTTTAAGCAGACTCTTATAAATTCAGTCGCACCCTTTATTTTATTTCGGCGAAGCGGAACATGTTTTGTCATTTCAGTTCAGGTTTACATATTAGTGTGAATAATGGCCATAAAATTTTCATTTTCTGTGTGATTGAAGAAACGATAGACACTCAGTGGCATTATCAAAAATATCATTCTTGATTCACTTGGATCTCACTAGTACAGCTGTAGATTCTTTCCGAGAAAACGGCAGGTATGGAATGAATTTGTTGTTTCTGGGCATGACTAGAGGAGAGCGGGATGCGGAGGGGGGCGGCGGGGAGCTCGCTTGGCTTAAAAAGGATAGAATGTTTAGAAAGGACAGTCCTAGCTGACAGTTCCTGTAAACCGTTTCCCATTACTAAATTTCTGATCTAACCCTTTTCGGTTCAGTTCTTAACCACAATCACTGTTGAGCTGTGTTACTGGCACCCGGTTTTCCAGTTTGTTGAGGAATTCAGTAAGGTAAGTGGAGTTCTATACCACGGTTACGTTAAGTCTCCAGACTTAAATAATGGCAGCTAGAAACGTCAAAATTTTTCTCGAGCGCAAATAGCAATCGGAAGACTTTTTTCTGTTTTCTGCGGCAAAAGCGAATGAGAGAGCAGATTGGAGCTCCGGGAATAATAAGCGAACGACTTTGAGAAAGTCTAGAGGTAATCATGTATTCACCCGCCTCCCCTTGGGCACCCGTTCACAATAAAATTGCAAGACTATGTTGGTACAAAGTGGGAGTTGGGATGGGGTGGGTGTTAAAATATGAAGAAAAAACTAATGAAACTTCGCCCTAAGAGATCAAATACAGCATACACAGCCGTGGTAAATATCCCATCCCCCTTCATGCTATTCCTCCACCCTACACAACGTTTCAAGAGACGTTTCCGTTCTCATACACTCCAATATCAACCATAATTATAAATAGTAGGAGAATCTATAAACAGAGATAGACTTCATCCACAATCCCCAATTCATGTCCTGGTGATTCCGAAAAAAAAAAACAATAAGAAAGACAACTGATGCTACAGATGACGATGAACAAGTATGTCTTGAAATTTTGTTACATTTTTAATTCACTGGTAATGAATCGAGCTTTGAGGTTTTATCCTCCTAACAATGTTTCAGTGAGAAGTGAATTTTACATGTTCCGCCGCAGGCAAAACGGAGTCAAAAGGCCGGAAATACATTGATGAATCCTGGAGCACCGGAGATTTAAAAGAAGCGAAAGATTGGGGAATTGAAAATAGCGTTTTTTGCTCGTTCCAGAGGAGACTAACGTTGAGCGGTTTGCCGGGTCGTATTTTTGCGAGTACACTACCACGGTGGTTCTAGCTGCCTCGTGTCACGCACCCACTTGCGAAAGACGTTCCGCACCAGTTCACTGCACAAAAAACTGGATTTACACAAATCTACTCGGTGTAAATATGGTGAAAAAAAGTGCAAATTAGGGGGAAATTAAAAGCAAAGATGGTAAATACCGCATTTGCTTGCCAGGTTACATGGGGGTGTAAATTTTAGGGCAAATGCGGTATTTACCATCTTTGCCCTTTATTTAACTTTAGTTTGCACTTTTTTGCAACAAATTTGCACTGAGTAAATTTGGTTTAAATCCCATTTTTCGTGCAGTGAGTTGAAACATGTGAAAGGGAAATTCAGGAAGAAGCAATTATATAATCAAATTTCGCCAACTCAAAATGAAAATGAGTTTCCTCTGGTTCCTAAAAATGGCCAAGGCGCGGAGCAGGTATTTGAACGGTCTTTGAACAGAAAGAAACGAAAAATGGGAACTTCGAACTCTACAAGAAAGTTCGTGACGTTTAATGGACTTCCTATCGAACCGCCCTTGATTACTGTTGATTTGTCCAATCAAATTATGAATCACACCACTCCGAACGATTTCATAGAGTTTCCTTCTTGCGGATCTAAAGTTTAAAGGAAGAGATCTAAAGCATCGGTTACTTTTAAAAACTTTTATTGCTAGCATTGTTTTACTAATGTTACATTCCCAACTTAAATGAGTCTTAAAGCCAACGGATTGTTGACATAATAGAAATTGACATACTTGACTTTCACATGAAATTGCAAACTCGAATACAGTATTCAGTGAAACTTTTCACAACAATTCACCTCTAAGCTTAAAGTATGTTTTTTAAATTTTAACAAGTGAAAGTTAGGAAGTGGGACCTGATAATTCCCAGTTTTAAATTTAAAACGTACGAAAAGATTGGTCCGGCCCTGATCAGAAATTTCTGAATCCACCTAAGTATACAAACTAAAACTGAAACGATGAATATTTCCCAAATCAGAAAGAAATGATTAATAGTAAAATAGATATATCTTTCTTATTTCGAGTATACACATTCAATAGAGCTAAATCAGCATTGGATCGTGATTGCCCTTGGACATTCCGTTGGCACCGCTTTTATCGGTGGTCAACGTAATATGGATGACTGAGTTTCCGTTCTATTCTCTACACCTTCTCTTTTTTGCTTTTTTGTTCGACCTTATTACTTCTAAATCTCTTATTCATCTGCAGGGTTTTTTGGGGGGGAAGTCATCGATCCAGGGGCACCCAACGACCGAATGTTTCCAAATACGCCAGAAGTGTCTCAGATGGTTTTCTCTGTGCTTTAGAAGCCTGTTTGGTTAATTTGGAGTTGCCCTAGAAACTTTGTATCTGTTCGGATTTCTTAGGCGAACTTTGGTCGTCACGAAAGTTTTAGGTGGCTTTTTCGTCTCATCCGAAAGTGTTAGCTGCCCTTATGGGTCCGGTCGAACGAGCACATAAAATAGTCTTGCTTTCATTAGAAAATTTTAGGGGACGTTTTGTCTTTACACCGAAAGTTTTAGGAGACATTTTTTCAACAACAATCGTTATGTCTTGGTAATGTGACGGACACAACCTCCGAAAATCGCAGTTAAGCTTTCCGAATATTTTAGACGAATCAAACGGTTATCGAGAAAGTTTTGGCTTTTCACAAGCTTTAGAAATTTCTAGGCAATATTTGCTCCTTGGAACAGTAATTTTACAGAATAAAGTCGCTGGGTGCCCCTGTCGATCTTTTTAAGACACAAGCATTTTTTTTACAGGGAACTGTAAGCCCTCCAGTTATTTCTAATGATCCTTCGATTCTGCGGTCCTTGATACCGTCGAAGCCCTCCTTGCGACCACTCTCGTAAGCGACCAGCTCTGGTTACAACCACCTTAATGTTTGAAACCCCGTTTGAACTGTCACTTAAACTTTGTACTGAGAGGTCTCGTAAGCCACCGCTCCCTTAAGCGACTTGGACCACTCGTAAGACTACTCAACCTTGCTTTTGTACTCTCGCAAGCGACCACTCAGAGTCTTATTCATACAAGAGAGAATTCTCTCTTGATTAATATAAATGAACCCTTAAATGAAACTGCACACTGCGCTAATGGTTCGTTGATAAATATCTTGGAGTTGAACGAAAAAAATTGGACGTAAAGTTTAGCCGTGTCTATATCAGAAATAAAACCACTTATTAAGTGGGTGGGTTTCCGCCCTCTATTGTTTCACCTTGCGGTCCATGCTTACGAGAGCTCATTCTCGAAAGCGACCAGCTTTAGTTACGACCATTTTTTGTGTTTTTTGTATTTCCGAGGTGGTCGCTTACGAGAGCTTCGACTGTATGTCCAAAGTTTTGTAATGTTTTTTTGACTGAATCTCTATGAGTGTGACAGGACAATAAAAAAGTAAAGTAAGGATGATACTATGCATTTCATTTCACTTCAACGACTAATATCTACTTTTAAAGCTACCGGTGTATTACTAATACTAAGGTGCGGCAGTCGCCCAACTGAATTAAACAAATTTTCAGTTCCAGTTTGTAGGAATATAACCATGAATATTTCACTTGTTCAGACAATAAAAATTCATTGGAAGTTCAATCAGTTAGATTACCAAAGGCTTTTATAGATTCATCACTGCTAATTCTCTATTACTATACCTACAGCCACTAACATGTACTGATTGCAGAAAAAAAGGTAAAATGCAAATGTTATATTTATAGTGGAAGTTCACAGGCAGCCCACTCAAACAACCAGAAACAAACGATTTAATTCAAACGTAGCACGATTTAAGACCCAACTTGGCAGGAGGCAAACCAGTTAGTTATTTACAAGCGGGATCGAGGAGTTCAGCTGAGGAGAACCGTTAAACCGATCTATCAAATGGTTAGAAGTGCTCTTAGCTACCCAGCTACTTAGAAGGCAGCCCACCCAACTAACAAATAACAAATGATTCAATTCAGACGTAACATGATCATAAAACCCCAAACTGGCAGGAGGCAGACCCTATTTACAAGCGAGGTCCAGGAGTTGAACTGGAGCAAACCTGTAAATTGATCCATCTGATGGTCATAGTGGGACTTGGGACCTCCGGATTGCAGATTGAAACATTCTGGATTGCGAGTCCAACTGCGCTCACCACATGACCAACGCTGGCTCCTAGAACAAGGGCGTATTTGCCAAAACCACATACACGGATGAATATGCCCTTCAAATCTGAAGTGTTGATATTACTCCGAAAAAATGATGCAAAATAAACTAAAAATCGAGTTTGTTTGACCAAATTTAAAACGTGTAGTAGCATGAGACGGACAACGTAGGATAAATCTTGGTTGTCGTTACCCACGCAACTCCCTTTTGACTTGTCGAGGGTAATTGTCATGACTCCCGCAGACGGGGAGGGGTTGGGGCTACCCTTTTATCTCTTGAACTGTTCACTCCCTTTTTAATTTACAGTAAAAACACGTTTAACTTTAAAAGAATATAGAACAATTCCTATCAAGCCTATCTTAAACTAGTTTTTCTAGTTCACCAATGATGTGTTCCATAGTAGGTCTCTCTTGAGGATCTTGATGCAAACATCTCCGGATGAGAGCTCGAAACATGCGGTCTGTTACCATTGCGACTTGCTCTTCACGCCTGTCAGGATCTGGCAGTTCCCCAATGCTCATCTCACAGAGGAGAGCCCCAAAACTGTACACATCGACCTGAAAACAAAGAAATGAACGATGATTATTTAAAATATGTATATTGAGGGTAACAACACTATAGTTCCACTTCAATACTCATCAACTTATGCATTATTTGACTTCTTTGTACACATATGACACTTTCAAAAGAAGTAATTTAAATAAGACATAGGTTCTATTCCTTCCAAGGACTCAGATTTTTATAAAGCTATTAAAGAATCTTTTATACAACATTTTTCTTTATTCTACCCGTCACTCGACGACCAAATTCGACCACTAAAATATTTCACCTTTCCCTGAAATCAGTTGTCCAATGTTCTGTTTATTCTTTTGGTCTAGACTGTTTAGTACATGGCTTAGCAAGCCACGATTTTCATATAGCTCAGAGGTAGTCAAGCATCCGATTGACAAATATAATCATGACCATTTTCCTTGGTTATCTGTTAGATATACCATATGCTACATGTGTTGCCAAAAGTTAAAAAAATAACAAATACAGGCTAATGATTGACACAACATACCTTCACAGTTTGATTTTTAGTAAACGCTTCAGGCGCACTGTATACTGCAGCACCTGGACAAACTGACATGGTATGCTGCATAATATTAGCAGCACCATAATCCGACACTTTGCCTCGCCATTGGTCAGCTTGTCTCCATAGCAACACATTGGCGCTGCTGATATCGCGGTGGATAATAGGACGTGGTTTCTTTTGGTGCAGGTAATTTAATGCTCGAGCCACATCCAGAGAGATGACAGCTACTTCAGTTGTAGAAGGAGATCGCTGCTCCAGCAGTTTTCGTAAACTCGATTCCATGAGCTCTGTCACAAACAGAGGACTTCCTTCATCGTTTGTTGCTCCAATGAACTGCAGCAGACAAGGATGGCGGCATCTTGAAGCGATGCTCATTTCTCGCTCAAACAATTGTCTGTTATGAGAGGAAAGGTTCAGAAGCACCTTGTAAATCTGTTTCACGGCAACAGTGCAGCCACAATACTTGCCTTCGACAACACTTCCCCAACCTCCCTTACCAAGACATTTCTCTGTAAGCTGAATTTGATCACGTGAAATGACCCAATCAGGTGACTGTTGGCTTTGACGTCCACGTAACGCTTGCTGAGTTGTTGCAAGGGATATTTCCAGTTCATTCACTTCTTTTTCTTTTGCCCTCAGTTGCTCCTCTAACGAGGTGATTTCTTCAACTTTTTCTTGAACTTGCCCTTGCAAATTTGTCAGCTGCTGTGTCAACTCTCTCACTTGTCCTTCTCCCTCTCTTAGTTGTCTTTGAATATTTGACAGCTGTTGTGTCATTTCTCTCAATTGACCATCTTTCTCCGGTAGTTGTCTTTCAACATTTGTCAACTGCAACGTCCTCTCTCTTAGCTGTTCATCTCTCTCTCTTAGTTGCCCTTGAACATTTGTCATCTGTTGTGTCGCCTCCCTCAGTTGTCCGTCTCTCTGTCTTAGTTGCTCTTGGACACTTTCCAACTGCTGTCTCAGCTCCATTAATTGTCCTTAAAGATATTAAGATAGAAGGAACCATTTCAGCTTTTTGTCCCATACCATAAAAAAGAGACAATTTTCTTTGGTCTCACGCCTAGTGACCTTAGTGTAACATCTACAGAGGATCAAACTTAGAGACTGAATCTTATATACAGCTGTAAATGCCTCATTCTAAAGGGGAACTAATCTCAATTTAAATAAATTTATTTTTATTTTAGACCAATGTGTTTGATCTCCACTTAATAATGCACTTGGTATTTTTTTTACTTCTGTATAGGATATTAAGTCTCCTCTCCTGTTTTTCTCTTGGTTACACTCATAGGCTGGGGGATGGCTTTATTTTTCTTTTATTTACAAACACAAATTGCATCTCGTTTGATTGTTTTAAATTGTTGTTGTTTATTTTTTGTTAATCATACATGTATTATGTCCCGACTGTGAGAACAGTCCAAATATCTTCTACCGCCTTGAACGATGAGGGATCCACCATATGGGGCCATTAGCCCCAGTCTCTCTGTTTAAAACACACTCTCTCTTTCCACCTCACCTAAAATGGTAGCTAACGGCTCATCAGTGAAGCTCATTGATCCTGGGTACAATTATTTGTTTTAACCAATTAGTATGTGTAATCAAATGGTGACGAGTGAAATTATTCCCTAATTTCACTCGTCACCATTTGATTACACAAATCCCTTAATTAGATTCTCTTATATACCTGATATTTCCTTTGTTTCAGTCTCCTTTTGCGTGTTTTCATTAGCATCTTTTTCTGTTCCAGGAACAAATCCTCCTCCTTCTTTCCTCTCTTCATTTCCACTTCCGATTTTCCTAGCCTTTGAGAATAGAGCAAGACATGCGTCCTCAGATGATACCAAAGTAATTTAGTACAATTATAAACGCACTATATCCTAAACTATTTAAACTGTTTTTTTTTTTTGTTAGCATCGTCTAAACCACGATCTGTCATAAATCCGTCACGAAATCGGCACTTATGTAGCTGGTCCCCAGGCTCTCTATTCAGTGGAAGGAGGCAAAAAAATGGCAGAGACGGTGTGAGGGGAAAAATGAAACAGGAAATTGGTAAAACTCCCTTTCCCCCGCAGGTGAAAGATATTTACAAAAATGTGTTAGTGATAGCCCGACGCTTTTCAGTTTAATTTGTTCTTTGAACTTCTTATTTGGAAAACTTTGAATTCAGTGTGAATTCTTTTTCGCAAACGTCAATCGAACGGTTCATAACAGTTCTTAGTCAGTAAATTGACCGGAGAAACAATTGGGCCGCTTAAAAACTACACGCTTGTTATATCATATAGCATAATCTATGAGCCTTTTGTACATGCCACTATCAATGAAATGGATCGTTTCATTCAAACAGAGACGACTTTAGAATTTCAGCTTGTTCCAGGCGTTCAGATAGGGAAGGTCAGACAAGCGAGACGTATTTTCATAAACACAACATACTGCGGCGCGGAAGTAAGTACTCTCTCATTTCGTGACAAAGAACTGAATGATTTTACAAAATTATAATATGTTAATAATACTTACATCCCCGACGTCGACGTTCATGGCACTGAGTCCTCTTTTCTCGGACAGGATCCTACGAGCCTCGTCCGTTTCACAGCTGTCCAGTGGTGTTTGACCATTTTTGTTTTCTTGCTTTGGATCTGCACCGATATCTAACAACAACAGCAGCATTTCTCTCAAAATCTCGACATCTTCAGGCTCAGCAGGTTTATACTTCACAGCTAGATGGAGAGGTGTGTTTCCCTCGGTGTTAAAGGCATTTACATCACACCCTGCATGTACAATAAGCTTCACGGTCTCAACACAGGGAAGCTTGCACACTCCTCGAACATTGTCTTCTTTAATTGGAGTTTCGTGCCACGCAGCTAAGTGCAGAAGAGTATTTCCATCACTGCAACTAAGGTTTAAACGCAGGAATCTTTGAAGAACGTCAGTCATGTTGGCATTTTGAACTTTAACTTTGGTGTATATCATCAAAAGATAGAGAGCATAATAAAGCATTTTTTCTTGTTCCTCGCTTTCATGTCCCTCTTGTAATTTTTCTGTCCGTTTCTCACTTCCAGCAACTAGAATTTCGAATGCGTCTTGAATGAAGTTTGGTCTTAAAAGTTTTCTTTTTTGTGCCATTTCTCCAAGTACACCTGTGTAGTTTTCGAGAAATTTTATTATGGAAACATCGTTGTTCATGGCTTTCTCCATCGCTCGTTTCCACAAACCAAAACAAAGCTCGTACTCCTCAGAGTCAGCTAAAACAGCTCCCCGGAGGCTGATGTCATACAGAATAGCTGGATTGTCAGGCCCAAGGATTCTCTCTCTGATTATAAGTCCTTCCATGCCGATAGCATGATCATCACCTTCTAACAGAGCTAGTTCCTCTAAAGTTTGACTCTCTTTTCTATTTTGATAAGCTTCCACAGGTTCCATTTTCTTTTTAAGCGATGGATGTACCGGGTCTTCGTATCTCATCTCCATTCCTCGTTTCATGTAACTATAAGCTTTCTTAATGTCACGATATTTATCATTAGCAATGGTGGCACCAAGAAGTTCAAGAGCATCAATTCTCTGTTCCTTTGTACATTCCGGTCTTTTGATAAGATACTTCACGATTTCAATGGAACAGTTTTCACAGGCATAGAGAAGTGGTGTTAAACCTTGATTATTTGGCAGTTGTGATGCTCCATGAGCCAAAAGTTGACTGACTACCTCCAAGTAGCCCCCTTCAGCAGCGTAGTGAAGTGCAGTGTTGCCATCGTTGGCTTGTAGATCCACAAAGGCGCCTTTGTTAATAAGATAAGTTATAATACTTGAATGGCCATAGTCAAACGCTGCCATTATAGGAGTGCCTTTATACTGATTGCGTGCATTCACATCTGCCCCCCTCTCAACCAAACATCTCACAACGTCAAGGTGTCCATCATGGGCAGCAACCCTCAAAGGAGTCGAATCCGTCGATGTTCTGCCGTCAACATCTGCATTTCGTTCGATTAACAGTTTCACAACATTAAGATGACCAGAAGCAGCAGCGGCCCACAAAGGTGTACAACCCTTTATAACATCGTTCTCTATCTTCAGCGTTCCTCGAGTCTCGATGTCTGCTCCATATCCCAGAAGAATTTTCACAGTATTCAGATGTCCATTGTGAGCAGCGATGATGAGAGGAGTGACAAAATGGCTGCCATCTTTAGTTTTTGTTTCCAAAGCGGTTTTTCTTTGTTCAGGTTTCAGCCGCTTTAAAAGATCGGTCAGATCAGAAGAACCATCACGAGCAGCTTGATAAACTTTAGTTACACTATCACTCACCGATAGCTTGTCACCCATTTAACATTAAACTTCAGCGAACCTGCTCTAGATGGAATTTACTACGTTTCGCTTGAAAGATAATACACTGGGGTAAGCAAAACAATTCACAACAAACAGACAGTTTTTGAGGTCATAACCTCGTATAAGCGGATTCAAAAAATTCAATAGTAAGAATCAGTACGTCAGATCAGATGGCTGACGTTTAGTTCAGTCTATTTATTTTGACAAAATTGTTCATATTATTTCATTTCGGCACAGGTCTTCTTATACGAATCATATTCATAAACATTTAGTATTCTGTTTGAATAAACACTCAATGGTTTAACTGTCATTCGTGATACGCGTGATTTCCACCAATTATACACAATCATTAGATTCCTTCCGAGAAAACGGGAAGTGTCTCTGAAGTGTGGAACAAATTTGTTGTTTCAGGGGAGGTAAGGGGGCTTTCTTCATAATTTCTGCCTTTTCTCGTTATAAAGACTATAAAGTTTCCGATCTAACGCAATCTAACCGTTACAGTTCAGTGCCTAACCCTAATCACTGTAGAGCAGTGTTATTTAGCCTGGGACCAGGATCTGCAGTGGGGGAAAAAGGCGAAAAACGGGGTCAAATAGGAAAAAAATTGGCGAGCCCAGCAGTATCCTAGTTGGGGAGGGCTTTCTCATTCCCAGACTACCTCTCGGCTCGCTTCGCTCGCCAATTTTTTTTTTTTTGCCAATTGGCGAGCCCAGCAGTATCCTAGTTGGGGAGGGCTTTCTCATTCCCAGACTACCTCTCGGCTCGCTTCGCTCGCCAATTTTTTTTTTTTGGCCAACGCCGATTTTTTCTCCTTTTTCTCATAATGCAGAGCCTGGTCCCAGACTAAGTAATATTAAAACGCTGTGGCTATATATACTAGCCCTGCAGGCGGGAAGGGTCTTAAAAAAACTAAATGCGCCGGCAGTTAGAAAATGTTCTAGAATTTTTAAAAATCCCTTTTTCTAATCGTTTCAAAGTATTCTATCTTCATTTAGAATTACCAAGCGATCAGCAAAACAAGAATGGCTTCGCAGCTGAGCGGATATGGTTCCTTAGGCACAGAGTATATAGAGCCAACGCTGTACGTTTCGACACAAAAATATTTTTGGAAAACTTTTAAAATTTCATGAGAAGCCGCTTCTCACGGCGTCACTCACGGGCACGTTTTCATCCAAGCTCACTACCCGGCAGTCTAAGAGAGGAAGCTTCTGCGCACAGGCTATTCACAGACGTCCCTATTCCCTATTTTTTTTTGGGGGGAGGGGCGTCTGTACACAGGTTTACTTTACTCTATGCCCAAGAAACCACAATCGCTCAGATACGAAGCTAATATTGTTTTCCTGATCGCTTGTTAATTCTAAATGAAGATTATTTAGAACTAGACTTCCAAAAGATTAGAAAATGGAATTTTGCAGAAATTCTAGAAATTTTCTGACTGTCGGGCAGTTAGTTTTTGGCTTTTAAGTTTTAAGTATGCTCTCTCCGTAACTGGTGCTCTAGTTTTTTCAGCAACTCAGCAAGGTAAGTGGGGTACCACGTTTTTTAAAAATAGTTCAGCGAACCAACCTTGTTCCACTCGCTCGGGTCCAACCCCGGGTGTCCGTTAACGTGTCCGTCTGGGCAGGACAGCAAATCCGCGTAGGACTGGGAAAAGGTCGCTATCTTCATTCAATATGGCGTCCAAAGGGAACTCGGTGTTTTCACGAATCGTTCGCCGTGAACTTCCTGCTACGTTTCTGCACGAGGATGATCAGGTAAACCAAGAACGATGTGTAACTCGAACTCGAACTCGAACTCCACACTGACTACACTCGCACCTACAGTTGCACACCTGCAAATGGGCACTCATTCACAAACTCGCAGTGACATGTTGGTGAGTGGGGGATGGGGTAGGGTGAGTGTTAAAATATAAAAAGGAAATACTATGAAATGGGTAGGGGCCACTAAACAGGCTAGTTTTAAACAGGGAATGCAATTTCTTTCTTGTCTTTGTCTGGAACAGGCTGTCCTTTTAGACAGGAAGCCGTTAAAATGGTTTTAAGGTTGGCATGAACATTTATAGTAGCAACAATCTTTTGAAAAAGATACAATCCTTTGATGGAAGTTTTAAAAATTGCTTAATTATGTGAGTAAAACAAAATGAATCTGGGTCATTAAATGACATTACGGAACTCCGCCTATTGGTCAGCGTCAGCCGTAAAATTGCAGGTCCCATCACAGGCGGCCCAAACTCACGTTGCGAGGGAAGGGTGTAATGTAATTTACATAACATAGGTGACGCGCCGGTGTCGCGTTACAGGCGACCGTTGAAAATATAAGAGACTTTGTATGAGAAATATATTACTGAGATCTGCGCACGCTAAATAACACAAAACCTTACTTTTTCTCAAATGAATTGAATAAAAAAGACTTACCTGCAATGTATTCCACTACGTTTTGGTGTCTGTTTGTCGTTTTACTGTTTTTTTGGCTTTATTGCGTTACCACTGTTACTCCTTTTATAAAACGAAGTGAAGGCTGGTCACTCCGATCTGTCGGGGCCTGGACCAGTCGCAACAAGAATGCCGTTTTTTTCGCCGAAATTCAAATCCGCTGCAAATTTCTCAGCTCCGGCCTAAGAGGGAAACCTCTTCTTCCTGTCTGGGAGATCGGCTCAAAAAAAGATCCATAATTTCCCCATTAAATCGAGCCATTTGTGCCGGACTTCGAGGCACGTCTGGCTTTCGTCCAGTACCTGTGACCACTGTTGCGCCTACTAACTAATTTGCATTATGGCAATTAGTACTTACACGACGGGTGACAGGGCGGAAATGACACGTCAACTAGGCTCTTGCACTGTGAAAAAGCGAGTGCTTGCACCCGTCGTGTGAGGAGTACATGGGTATACAGGGTATACATGGGTATACTTAAGCAATAGACCACACTTTCTATGGGTTTACCGGCGTGATAACCCACGCGGGATGTTGGGAGAACACGAGAAAGAAAAGCTTGTAAATCACGAGCCGAAGGCGAGTGATTTACAAGCTTTTCGAGTGTTCTTCCAACATCCCAAGTGGGTTATCACGCCGGTAAACCCATAGAAAGTGTGGTCTATTGCTTTTATAAAATAACTTTTAATAGAATGGAGTATTTAGGCAAAAAATATGGTTCTAGTACCGTGATCAAGTCACGTCTTCTCTCTAAAGTCATCATAAGCCAATCATGACTCACGATTTAATAGCGTTGAACTTTCTCAAAACTCATTCAGTCAAACAATAAACAGCAGCACTTCAAAACACGAGTTTTTGCACTCATTACATGATAACTTATGAAAGCTGTTTTACAGGAAAAGTCAACACATATTCATGCGAACGTACAATGAAAGAATACGTTCATGGTTTGTTTACTACAGAAGTAGAAATCAATTGAACATCAGACTGTACGCAGCTGTATTTTGTTGAGTCGATCCGTAAGAATTTCGTTGTTACAGACGGAACTGACAGCTATTGTAATAGAGGACTTCATTCACTTCTTACAAGCCGCAGTGGTTTAAGATCTGTTTTCTGGACTTAATTATGATCAAGAAATGCTGCGGTAACGACGTGGCTGCATTTGCGAAGTTGTCGCATGTAACTTTATATGAACGTACAGCGACCGATGGAAATATGTCAGTGGTGGAGAAAGGTTTCTTTGCCGTAGTCACATATTGGCGTTAATATTTGTCGATTCGTGAAGTGAGGTGGTTTGAGGTAGGTTATGGCATCGATATCACAGAATAATTTGTGCAAATGTTGGAAAAAACCAGCCCAAAACTCTGACATCTTTCATCATCGTTGGCAGCTTGTTTACAACCTACAGCGGCCGATTTTGTACCATATCTTGATCAGAGATCTCTTTTTGGAACAATTTCTTTCATTAAGGAATTTAAGTTTGAGATAAAATAAATCAAGAATGCTAAAACTATCCGTTTTGTTGCTGGTTGGCACATTGTTAAGTTTTCCTAGAGACTTTGTACACCAGAAATTCACACAGTTGTTGTCTTTCTCTGCGATTTGGCATCGTCGTGAAATGTAAACTGTTTTCCAGCTTTGTACTTTATAACTTCTAAAGCTATGGCAGTAGCGAATTGTGACGCTCAGTAATAAAATGTGAAAACCAACGCTTTTAATATTAAGAAGGGCTGGGTAAGTAACTTGTTCTGTTTTTTAGCCTTTCTAAAATCGTTTGCAGATCAATAGCCGGTTTTGTTTATGGCTCGTGGTCCGGATGCCTTTTTCTATGGGTTTACCGGTATAATAAACCATAGGTTTTTGACCAATCAGATCACGCGTACTATCTCAGTTATTTTATAAATGGGTATAAAGGGTATACAGGGAGTACATGGGTATACAGGGTATACATGGGTATACAGGGTATACAGGGAGATAAACAATCTATTACTATTACATGAAGGATATATCTATTTAGCGTAAGCGTAACAGGAAAGAATAACCAATGTTTGGGAGCCCAAAGGGCTCCCCGAAATTTTTATTCGGGCGACCAACTTTGAGGTCTGGGCGCCTTAGCTAAAATACTTGGGAGTCCAAAGGGCTCGATGAAATTTTCCTTAGAGCATGGCCTTGTCCTGGCTCTTTTACAACATTTCCATTTGCTTTGTTTCATTTTGTATTACTTTTGTGAAAGCATAATTCTTTCATGTGAATTTATGCTTTCAAAAGGAAAAAACTTTCTAGAAATGTTACGTTTACAACCACGGTGTCACTTCACTCACACCTATACAGTATCCAAATTACCTTTGATTCAGCAGGTTTTGCTGGGGACAAAAATGTCACCTTTTATTTCTCAGATGCTTACAAGATTTTTTAAGCTTTGCTTCAGACTTTTCATTCCAACGTTTTAATGCAGAAAAGTTATGAGAAATGCTGTAACTGAATATTAAAGTCACACAACATGCTTTCAGACCGCCTAACTTGATCTTTCTGGTATCTTTTGTTCTTCTACTGTCTCCAAAACAATCA